TGTAAAAGCTCAAACCTGGCATAGTTTCTTCAGATGGAATAGAGTGGGAGAGTGGACACCTGAACGCATGGGAGAGAAAAAATTTCTATGAGTTGTTATTTGGGATGAGGTATATACAGTTCTTAAGCATATTCTTGAAATATTCATTAATTATTTATTAGAACATAAATGCTAGGTAATTTGTTGCGATGATGATGCAAAACCTTCACCATTCTTTGGAGAAATGCCACATAATTGGTTAAAAGAGCATGCTGATTATTACGAAGAAGTTTTAACTGATTATTGTACAAAATATTCTAAGTTATGTGAACTTAAAAAGCTATGCGTCAAAAAAATAATTGAATACAATCAAAATTATTTCGAGGAATTTTCCCAACTATAGAAAAATAGGAACATCTCAAAAAGGAATGGACTTCCTTAGATTGTATATTATCAGCATATCGCCTATCTCGAAGAATTGCATCACAAAAATGTCTTGAACTCTATCATATTAAATATCCAGATCTACCGGTTCTACTAATATATAGGCCAAGAGATGACGTAAACAAAACTACCTCATTTCAATTCCTGGTTCATCTGAGAAACAAGAACTAGTAAAAAATGATATAGTACATTTACCATTGAATACGCTTCCTGAAAAGTTTATAAAAGATATATGTGCTTTAGTACTAACTCCGTTATTAACTTAAAAAAAAATACTTGATTGGGATTTGGGATATGCTATGACTGTACATACTAGTCAAGGGATGACGCTTGAAGCACTACAACGAGTTTGGGTTATCGATGAACATTTGGCGTAGGATAATTTAATTTATTTAGCAGTTGGTCGCGTAGAATATTTGAGCCAGCTAATTCGGATAGAAGGTCTTCCATTACCTCCTGAGATTGAGGAAGCAAAAAATAAGAAAGCAATTGAGTGATCTCTAAGACCATTTATTTCTAAAAAACTCGTAAGATATATGGATCAAGATAAGAAAAAAGGTCATAAATTTAACTTATCTGTTGATTATATCCTTGTATTAAAAGATTCGCAAAAAAATAATTGTGAATTATGCCTCAATGAA